ACCCCCTCCACACACACACACACACACACACACACACACACACACACACACACACACACAATGAGGGGCTTTGATGGAGTATGATGACGGGAAATGTGCTGAACAACAAAAACACAGGAGAAAAACTCAAACTAGATTTTTATTGTACTTTATAAGTCCAAAAATTAAGTAAATATTAATTTCAAATTAATTTTGTTCATTTGAACTTTCTATTCATCAAAGAATCCTGAAAGAAATGTATCACTGTTTCCGCCAAAATATTAAGCATTAAACTGTTTTCAAAACTGATAATAATAAATGTAAATAAATTATTTTTATAAATGTTTAAAATGTTATTTTAAATTACAATAATATTACACAATATTAGTGTATTTTCTGTATTTTTGATCAAATAAATGAAGCATTTGTGAGAGATTTGTTTTTTAAACACAGCATTATTTTTACAAATCCCACATTTCTGAACAATAATATATGCATGGATGAATTGTTTACAATAAGTAAACATTAAATAACATGCATTAAGAAAATAATTTTTACATTTTTACTTTATTTTTTAATTGAATTATTTTCAATTCTATATTAAATTAGTATTTCCATAATACTAAAATCTCTACAATATTCTGGTGCCTAGGCAGAGACCTCAATTCACTTAAATGATTTACATTTGGTTGATTGATTGATTGATTGATTGATTGATGGATGGATGGATAGGTGGAAAGACAAACTGATGGGTGGATGAAAAGAGTTTGTACCACACATATCAGGTGTCCTAAAATCCAGACCTAAAAAACCAAGCTCAAAAAGCTTCCACTGTTTTAGATTCAGACCCAGAAGGAACTGAAAGCAGGGACGAAACCCAAGTCTCCATCTCAGCAGCCCTGAGCAAGAGCATTCATTCTTATCTGCAGTATCTGACAGATGACTCAAGCAGAGGTCAGTCTGAGCAGCTGAGTAGGTGTTAACAGCAGGGATAAAGCCTCTTTCTCTTGAGTTATTTAGCATGGTATGCCTGCATGCAGGTGCAAAATAACCACAACGTAAGCCTGGAGGGAACTTGTGTATTCCAGTGACATGTTTGAGCACACATGCCAAAAATCCAGTATGCCATTCATAATGCATTTAAAGGGATAGTTCAGACAAAAATTAAAATCACGTACTCAAGTCATTCCAAACCTGTATGACTTTCTTTGTTGTGTAAAATACAAAAGAAGATATTTTCAAAAATGCTTTTGTCCATACACTGCAAGTCAGTGGGGTCCAAAATAACACTAGACCACTTTGATTTTCTTTGTATGAGCAAAACCCACAGAGACAATATTTTTGTTTGTGTTCTGCAGAAATAAGTAATTCAAATAGGTTTAGAACAAAATAAGGGTGAGAAAATAATAATCATATTTTCTTTTTTTGGGTGAATTATACTTTAAGGTGAAGTGTGTAAATTCTGAAAGAATAGTAATAATAAAGAAACACAATTAATAATAATAATAATAATTATTATTATTATGAAAGAATAATGAATACAGAGAAGAATACTGAAAGAATAATAATAATAAAAAACGCAACTAATCTTAATAATAATAATATTTATTATTATTACAAAAACAGTGGTAGTAATTACCAGATAACTCTTAATAATCCTAATATATAAAATAATAATAACAATTATAAATTTGTTTATATTGTAAAAAAATGCATTTTTAATTTCTATCTATCTATCTATCTATCTATCTATCTATCTATCTATCTATCTATCTATCTATCTATCTATCTATCTATCTATCTATCTATCAAAGCTTTATTCTTGACATGCTCCTGTCATCGCAGTGATGATCACAGATAACAGGGTCTGCTGAGGACGGGCTCCCCGGGGCAGTGCGGAGAGACCGGTGATGGTCTAGGAAAGGTCTGACACACTCGACACATCATCAGATGCTTTCGAGGGCTGAGTGGGACAGACACAGAGCAAAAGAGCGAGGAAGAGAGAACATGGAGGAGAACAGGGATGATAGATAGGGATCCCGCCAGGACACAACGAGGCGGGGAGAAGCCTTTTCCAGGAGTGATGGGGTGAAAGTGAGAGGAATAGAAAAATGAGGATAAAGGAAGGAAGTTTAGATATGAGAGGCTGTTGCTATGGCTCACCTTGTCCTCCGTGGTACAGCGCGTGCACTGACACAGGAAGTGGTATTGCTCCTGTAAATGGGAACGTCACTCTTTGCTGGTCGCAAGGATATCAGTGTAGCTTATAGTGAGCTAAAGAAAATGAAAAAGAGAGATTAGAGATGGTTAAATGAAAAATCGCAGACAACTAGCAGAATCTAAGAGGGAAATACAATAAACACAATGACTGTGTTACACAGGCAGCTCACTAGGGAACGTAGCCAATGTCTTGTGGCAGTTTTGTCTTGAATAATGAAAGTCTGCCTGCTGAGCTAACATTTGAAAACCACACGGTCTTTTCCCTTTGGTCCAATTTTGCAGGATGTAAACAATGCATTGCTTTATTGTGCATATGTTTGTGTTTATGTGTTCAGCCATCTTCCAGGCTGTTAACAGAGCTGACATACGGATAATCAGAGTGGAAAAGGTTGAATTGGTGCTGAATTATAAGGAGCTAATCGTTTAAATTGTTTTCATCATCTAATGTGACAGGCGACTCAGGAGAATCTGAACAATGATTGTGATTTCTGATGACTTTCTGTCTTTAGAGGTTTTTTGAAAGCAATTTATTTACCGCTTCCTATAAGTACATCCAACTACGGGTGTGTTTGGAGTTACATACTATCTGTTATTTTCAAAGCGACTCGACGCAGCTCGAGTTCCTGAAGGGGAACTGTGGTGTGATGTGTGTAATTCAATGGCAGTTAAAACACTTTCTCCTGTTCCAGTTTAATATGAACAGACAACTGCAAAGAAGCTATTTGGGGGCTGAATGTATAAACACTGTGGCTCCATGGCAGTATAAAAATATTACTATGTTTATTTGAGCGGCCTGACATCGCAACTTTTGGCTCAATCAACGCATGGAGTGAGTTTGGGGTAGGAGACTGTGTTATTATTATTACTAACAAAAACTGAATGAAAACATTTTCCTTAATGGAAAAATTTTCTAAATCTAATTCAAAATATATGCAAAACTAAACTAAATTAAAGAATATTCTAATTAAATGTATACTAACTAAATATAACAAAAAATGCAAATACACATAATAAAAAACAAAACTAAATTAGAACTAACAAAGTGAGAATACATTTTTTAAAAAGTCAAAACTGTAATGTATTATTATCATTTGTTATCAGAAGTATAAATAAAAATAAAAATTAACACTAAAATATTTAAATAAACTAATAGACATTTACAAGACTCCAAAACTAAATAAACATACAGTACATAAAAATATATACTAAACTAATGTGTGTGTGTGTGTGTGTGTATAT